AGGATTGATGTCAAGTTTTGGTTTCGCCACCTCTAACTTTCTTCTATCCATATCCAACACTAATCAGCGTTACGCGTCGTGATAATCGGTGTTCAGCCATACGCAAAATATGGCCCAACCATCTCAGTCGATGAAGATTTACAACCTTACCAACTGATTTACCATTATTTCCCAATACCCTAACCTTAATATTACTTACCCGATGATCCCAGCAGATGCGAGCAACATTTCTAGGGCATCTGTGGTCAAATACTAGTAGCTTACGAGTATCTTCTACCATTAACGGACACGTTTCGCAGCCACGGAGTAAAATAGGACTAACTGCCGCGCGGTATATTCGTTCTTTAGTTGATAGACCGATATCTCGCCTTCACCATAGGTAACGTAATTTGGCGAAAGCCAAACGAGCTTTCTGAATCCATGCTGAGATTTCGTTAGACATCAACCCATTAGGGCTTATCAGCTTTCCAAGATAAGTGAAGTTTTCGATGCTTTTGATTATTTCACTCGTTATCCTAAGTTCAGGTGTTAACGTAGTCCAGTCCTAAAGCAACAATTTGAATTTAGAGGGGGAGAAACGCATTCCAAACGTCCTGGCATTGTTGCTCAGTTCTGCCAAAAGACTTCATTTTATCGGCGTCTTCACCAAAAGGACTATGTCGTCGGCGTATTCTGAGACAATAAGTGGAACTCCTGTCAGTAGACCATTCCATAAATATCCAGACGACGAGAACGTTATTTCCAGCAGTAGGTCTATGATAAAATTTATCAGGAATGGAGATAGTGGACAATCTTACCGGACGTCACTTGAGGTTTAAAAATCAGGTGACAGTTCGCCATAAGCTGTGACTCGAATACTAGTGTTCGAGTAAAGAGTCTTTACAAGGTTTATGTACTTCTGAGGTAGATGGGTCAGATTACATTCAGTTTCCAGATTTTAGCTAAAATATTAGTCAACCCAGTCGCCGAAACTAGACCACCATCCTTACAGACGTTTGTAGTTAATCCGTTTGAACCATCTACTCTTCCTCGTTTCAGATCAGCTATAGATTTTTGAACTGCAGTTACAGCTGGGGAACCTATTTCAATGTTTCACTCAGGCCGTTTGGAAATAGTAGGCAGTTCTAGAGTAGCCGGATGTCAGCTTTCTCATTATTGAGTCGAGTTGTGATGGATCTTCTTAATATGGCTTTCCTACTTCCATTGAGGCGCAAGCAAATGCGTTCTCGTATCAAAGTGTGATAAGAGTCTGAACATGTATTCCAGAACGAGCGGCAACCTTCTACCGAGCCTCTTCAATGATGACAAATGGCTATATGCTGTATTTGAGTCCACTAGCTTGGTTCAGGGGATCGCTATTTTGGACAATGTGTCTCCTTATCCCTGAAACTAATGCTTGTTCAAGATAAACGATTGTCTGAGCATAGTTACAATAGACAGTCACCATTATTTGTCTTTGAGCTACATCAGTAGTCAACGGTTAACTGGTCACAGTTTATAAATAGGCTATAATCTGTCTTTAAGAATACCTTGAAACCCTTTCCAGTAGTGTCGAAAAACTCACGCTTGTTTGTTGTAAATTGTAGTCGCACCTGTTCCTTGGTGTTATACAGTTTTTTTCCTCTTACATTATTATCGTTAATTTTAACTTTACATGGTTTTATGATTCATAACTCCCGGTGTTTTTAATATTCAAAATTTGATACTTGAGGACTGATATCACCGTATTCTTCATAACGAAACAGAAATAGTATTTTTCAATCCATGGTCTAACAAATAAGAGTTGACTTTTTATAAATATTTTAGAATGCGAGACCTGGTTTCTGTCTCCAAGTGACACAACGAATGGTTGAACATAATTTCGTGTCCAAGTAAATATTAAGAGGTTGCACTTGTTAACACTTAGTTGTAGTTCTTGTCAACGTCACCTAGATGATTTTGTGATCATGAAATCATTTTAAGTGGCACGAATAAGTCGTTTCATATTTAATTGCTTAGGTTTATGATGTCTTTTATACTCATGTATATAAAGCTGACCTTATTTACATATATAACAAGGCATATCGTTCATGTTTTACAGTACGTATACCAGCTTTCCAAAGCTCTTTCTTACTGTCATCAAAATGATGTTATACATCGAGATATCAAACCAGAAAATATACTTCTTGGAGCTCGCGGTGAAGTGAAGATTGCAGATTTTGGCAGCGCAGTGCACTTACCAGCTTCACGGTAGGTTTTATTTCTCTTTTTCGTACAAGTAATTAGACGTATGACTACTTTTGGTACGCTCAATTACTTGGCTCCCGAATTGTTCCATTCGGAGTGTGTTCATGATCATCGTGTAGACATATGGAGCTTGGGAATACTCACTTTTGAGATGCTTACCGGTCATTTACCCTTTGATGGTGAAACCTTCCAGGAGATTTCCGAAAAGATTCGAAATGCTGATGTTTCATATCCAGATACATTAAATCTGGGTGCGACGAAGCTCATTACCAGTGTAAGTTCATTTCATAATTATAGTATTTAATATTTCTCACTTTTTGATTACTGGTTGATTATTGTGTACATTGAGATACTGTCGGTATTGTATCGAAAATAATTTCTCAGGAATATAGTGTTGGCTATGAGTGGAGTTTATGTTGTGTGAAGTTAGATTATGCTAACGATAAAGCACCATGCGAACAATATATTCGAGAAAGTTAAATTACTATAGTATTTTGCAAATGACTTTTTCTGCTTAATAAATTACTTGTTAGTGGCTTTCAAATCTCTATTCTTAGATGCTCAAAAAGTTGTCAAGTCAAAGGGTTTCTTTAAATGAAATCGATAATTATGACTGGATTAAAATGCATGCTGAATTTTCTGTCAATCAATGCAGAGCAGCTCTTCAAGATTGGGAAAATGTTAATCAAAATTCTACTTGTCCTTCATCTAGTAGTTACGAGTGCTCATCTACATTTGTAAATACATTTTTAAACGATTGATGTTTTCATTTATTTCACATTGCATTACCACTTGTTATGTCTTTCAGGATATCTTAATATAACAATTAAAAAGCTTATCATTTTAATTATAAATGGTTATCATTTTTACCATAATCTATATGCTCATATATACATTTATTTGCGTGGCATTAACCTCTTTCACTATTCTATCATAAATACCTGATAGACATGTTTTATGTTATTATTACGTATATCTGTAAATTAATTACACATATTTATCGCTAATTCAGCAACAAACCAATATTTGAAGAATTTTATTTTATTGTTGCTTATTTAATTTAAGGAAAATTCTAGGAGTCTGAACTTTTTTATTACTTAGATCTTGGGGTATTGTGTTAAGTTTAATAAACTTGTACAATTTGAAATTAATTAATTTAAAAGATTCACTTAATGAGATTCCATCTTATCTATATACTGACCTCTTTGTAATCTAGTGATGAGATATCCGGTTAACAAATTAAGCGGTTGTGGTCATTTTAAAAGCTCATAATTTCATCTTTATTAAAATTAAACTACTTGTAAATTTCCTGTCGAGAGTATCACTACCAAAGTTTAAGATGTCATTTTACACTTTTGCTTTGAATTTCATTTATTAACACGGTTCGTTATCTAGCCACTTGTCCATGTTCAACAAAATGAACTGTTAGTCAGTTGTGGGAAATCCTAACGGCTCTATTCTCATTAAAATATGTGTCGTTATCATTGTCCAGTAGTGCAATCAAAGCTTCACGCATCAACCAACCAGCTGGGAGAACATAAAACATCCAAAGTCCTCTTTTTCAGCAAAAAACCAAAAATCATCTCTGTTTTAAGTAGATAATGTACTAGGTTAATAGGCCCTACAAACAGTTTACAATGCAAAGGCATTTCGAACATTCTTCTTTGTTTACTTTTAGTAACGAGAATCCTTATAACATATTAGCGGAGCTTCAACGACATTTCGATCATCTACATTGTAGGATTACGCTTCGGTTTACAAAATGATTTGAACTAAAGATGGTAATGGAATAAAGTTTGTCATAAAACAATATTCACGTGTTCATGCCTTCTGCTTAAATTAGGCACTAGATTGGCGGCTATTAATAAAAAATATCAGCGTTCGTCCCTTCTATTCCTTTTGTTTTCATTTTGTTTTGGTTAGATAGGTTTGAAATTCATTAGCTTTGGCAGTCAACTCATTCATCAATTTAGAGATCCGAACTCACCAAAACCTATTGTGTCAAAAAGTAGTATAAGCATATAGATGTAAAATACCTGATTCACTAAACTGCTTTTACTTGGATGTCGTTACTAGGTTTAGCATTATTCTTTTATGCTTTCGTCACTTGTATTTGGATCATTTGTAACCAATTAACTACATTGTTTACAATCATCCCAGTTCTGAGGATTTTTGCTGCCTTTCAAGAAGATTGCCTGTTACCAAAATTAGTCGAACTAACCGATGCTTCTAAGCTGACGCCAAGTTCAGGATTTTTCGAAGTACCTTTCAGGAGCTAAGTTGTCTTGGTTTCCTTAAATCAGGTTTATGACCATGAAGTTATAAATATATGCTTGAGATCGGTCAGCCACGTCTGTACGTATATCTGTTTCTCAGTCTTGGGTCCTTAAATAAAACCTTATTAAATGTTATTGAACTTCGCTAAGTTAGCTAATTATGGTATTTTAGACGTTTCACCTTTCTGAATTCTACTTGCAGTTATTCTATGCTGTTACTCTAGATGCCGATATCCCGGAGAAATCAATATTAAATTATCACCTAACATTGGCTCTCAGAGCACAACATTTTCTACCTCTAATGGCTTTCGAATGTAATAATCGCCAAGCAACTTACTTGTAAATAAGAAGAGAGTAACATTACAATAGCTTGGCTCGCTTGAGTCACTGTTACGATGTAAACGCAAATTAACGTTGCCATAATTATATAAGGATTCTCAAATCATATTAACCTAGTGGTCCAGTTAGTTTGATACAGTTATCGTAAAATGGCAAAAGTCATTTGCTACATGTTTTTTTTGTAAATAAAGTTCTAAAGACAAAAAAGGAAATTCGGTTACATATGTAGTCCACAATAATATGAAAACTAGTTGTATATCAACTGGATAGAAGATTAAAGAATAGTTCGTTAGTGAAATGTCCACTCAATTTAAATGCAAAGCCCAAGAAAGCAATAAGCCAAACCGGAGTGAAGAAATGTCTAATTAAGTGTTACTTAGTTCTCCTTCTATTACAGTTAAAAGATCTGGTTAATTTGTGTAGTTGTTGATTTTAAAACAAAACAAGGTTAACTGATCCTCAAATTTCGCGATCTTTTAAAATGTAGACGCTTCCTTGTACCTGAAGAAAAATAAATAATGATCAAGTATTCAGTTGTCATTTTCATGTGAAATAAGGTGTGAACGTTTTGCATAGTTAATTTCATTTGACTTACAGATTCAATTTATCGAGATGGGTAATTTTGTGAAATGCTTTGATTACTAATAAAGATCACCTCGAGATGTAGTATGGTATCTGGGACTTACTAGTAACTAGTTCTTGTTGACCTAGCTTCATCATTTTCTCTCCTGCATAATATTACTTTAGTTCTTCCATTCCCATGGGAGATTTGTTATTCGTTTATCAATTTGTTCAAGTTCTATTTTAATTTATTTTTCGTCAGTCTCTTCATACGTATGATAAGAAACATGGAAAATCGTCCGCCTGTTCCATTTAATGTTTGTTAGTGGCTATTTTAAGAAGCTAAGAATATTGTAATAGATCGATCAAGTTTATTATATAAACTGAATTAGTAATTTAGGAAGGAGTTTAATCCTCACATTTCGTATCACGAAATGAGTGTTGAATAAACATTATTCCACCAGTATGTTGCCCGCACTGTCTTTTTTAAAGTTACTTTATTAGATATGATGTTATAAGAATTAGTCGTCATTGTTGAATGGCAATCTGATCTTTAGTAACTTTGGATTATTCATATTTGGTATATTTACAAATATTTGGTGTGGGAAGAATAACGTTTAAAACCAATCAGTTATACGATTTTTACTATCTGAATCATAAACGAGATGCCTATTTTCTTAGTTCAGTGTTTCATAGTCTATGTTATGGTTCGCAGTTTGTTCCAGCTATCAGAAGCTTAATGAGTTCATGTTATTCTGCACAAATCATTCTTTACATTTATAAACTCAGAACAACATAAATTAGTTGTTCAGTGATCTATGATACTCACTGGTTGATTAAGTTGCATTTGTGTTATTTTTCAGATATCAGTAATAGAAAATGAAATCCCACAAAAATGGGTAAAGGATGTTTATTAAGTAGTGGCATGCAAGTTCATTTCCTAATCTATAATTTCTCTGAATAACATAATTTAACATGGTTGTGCAAACAACATGTTTGCAATTACAATTAAGAACAACATTTATCCGATTGCTGTCGTCATAACAAATTATTAAGAAAAGTAAAAAGAAATTACTTGATAATCTACAAACTGGTCAAAGCAATGGAAAACGTACAGAATTTCTAAAATTTTTAGAAGATGAAATCTATCAAACGGAACTGTAATCACAAATTAATAATTACTTGGTACGAATAAAAAAATGATGAAAGTCATACCACTGAGGAGTATATTTGAAAAAAAGCGGGTCAAAAGATGTAATTAAGTCTTGAGTTTGTCTCTTCTCAAGATCTCCATGCAAATGAGTGGGAATTCTAGCGAAACCATCCAACTGACGATAGAGAAACTTACCTACTTACTATTAATTACGTATCAATGTGCACCGAAGTGGATCATCCAACCGAAGGGTGGAACTCAGAAGAAAACAACATTCTTTCAGTTAGGTTTTAAAAAATTCATTGAACTAAAACACAACACATTAGCTTAACACACACTTTCCCAGCAAAAACAAACAGTTTACCATTCTCTTAAAAATTGATAATTAATGCCACTTATAACTAAAATGAGAAATTTAGAATTTATAGAAATAATTTAACCTAAATTACATAATTTTCTTAAGGACTATAAATTACAACTCCAATCAAAACCAAATTAATTTCACAAAACATTACAGTAGGTAATTATTAACTGGAGATAATCAGTGAACAAAAATGATTTTTGAGATACCATTTCTCTGTATAACAGATTTCTTGAAAATAAAATAAAACAAACTAGTGAAAAGTACTTTTATAAAACTTGTGAAACATAATAAGGGGTACAGGTGCTTGATTATGTTCATAGTTCCATTTAAGACGAATAACTAGTTGTTTTATAACAAAGTGCGAAAATCATACCACTTTTAGACTAGTCAGCCATAAAGATCATGTACAGTTATTTGTGAACTAATTGTAAATGACTGAGTGCTTTCTATGAAACAAGCAGTATAGTGCAAGATATTTGATCAAAACGCTCAGAAAATAATTACAGTAATAATGAAATAAACGAAATCAAAGGTGTTTTATGTGAAGCAAGATAATACGAAACAAGTTGAACCGTCAGTGACGTCCTATTATTTTTTTTCCTTATAGAAATAACTAATTCTGTTTATTCCGTTTGATAAATTTTTAAAGAACACAGTAAGAGAGTGCTTAACAAGTCAATATTAGACTAAGATTTAATTGGAAATAAAATCACCACAAATTATATAAGAACTTTCGTTTAAATTTGATCGGATAGTTTCACAGTGTTCGGTTGCCGAATAGATGTGAGACATTAAAAAGGAAGAATGTATTCGTAAAATGTCAGTGAATGAATTTGAAGTGAATCCAATATTTTCGCCGACCAAAGACAATATATCGTGAATGAAATTTCTTCTCATACCACATACGTATACATACAATCTGTTATCTTAACACTTCGTTTCACACCACATGTCTCTTACACACTAATGCAAATACCTACTTTTAACATGATTAACATTGATTGGATAACCTGCTTAGTATACAGAGAACTATGTACCTATCTATATTCGATAATTTTGATGTTTGATTATATTTCTTTGAAAAAGCTTGAGAAGGATTGTCAGGTGAAACGTTGGATTTACTGCAAATTCATTCACTGAGATTTTACAAATACATTCTTCCTCTTTAATATCTCACCATAAATTAACTTATACTACATTATGTGACTATAATTTCATGAAGTACTAAATTATAAAGATTAATGAATAATAAATAAAAATGTAAACGACTTCCTTGTGGTTGTTCTCCTTCGAATAAATCTGCCAATATGTGTAATTTTAAACAAAAGTAATAATCATTTTTAAGAAAAAAACTAAAGGCAAGTGAGATTGGCCGAAATAAAATGTGATGATAATAGTAACTTTTTAAATTTAAATAAAATAAAAACAATTTTCATTAGTTCATTATAAAATGTTTTGTGCTCATAACTAGGTAACTCACGATATATTAACATCGATCAGTCGAGTTGTCTCTTAAGCCTATAGATATACAATATAAATATGATTGTATTTAGATCGGTAGATCGAAGATTATTACAAGTTTTAAATAACAAAATCTACACTTTATTTAAGTATTATTAATAATAACAATAATAGAAGGTAGTCATGAGTTGAAACAGATTAGGATAGAAACATTTTCAGTTTAGGGTGAAGTTATATCATCATTTTTAAAGGTCAATGGAAAGAAATTCAATACAAGAGAAATAAATAGGCTGAAGTTATCCAGTTATGGTATTTGTTGCTCGTTTGAAAATTTTTATTCCTGTTGTTAGTAATAAACTATATTTTGATAACTTTGTAAAACAAATTTGAACTTGAAATCATTAAACTGTCAATAAGAAAATTGTTCAGTCAGCTACAACATAAAACCAGGCACATATATGCATCAGTCCAAGGTACCACATCTCATTAGCACAACAAGATAAACACCGGATTCATAGTAGTTACTTCAGTGGTACAAATATATAAAAGAAAGATTGTGTATAAGGGTACAGGAAGAAATAATTAGTCGGTAGAAAGAAAGATATAAAGCAACTTCAATCTCACAGTTTAAGTGAAGACAGAGAGTGTATACATTTATTTGAAGAACAAAACAAAAATGAGCAAACATTTTTGGATGCGTTTTGAAATCATGATCTAATAAATCATTAAAATGAACTAGAAGACACAAATAGGTATTTGATTAATACAAAATTAAAAAAATAATGTTAAATACATCTTTATGGTTATTATGATCAATTTTCATGAGTAATGTTACGTATATTCTGTAACTTACCGTTTTCAATACCTTTAATAAATAGAAATCTACATTTACATTAAAATATATTTATATAAAATAACAATTAAATAGTGTTTTTTCAATTATTTACCAGGTGAAGTAGATGGTCGTACTGGTGAACATGAACGTGAAGATATGCGACCACGATATCGATCTATCCCTCTTCGATTATCCGAAGACTAAAGTATGATTTTAAAACGGCAATAAAACAAAGAGAATAATTTTTAAAATTTCTTTATTAGATTTGTCAGTATGAGTTAGTATGGCAAAATAACATATGTCATTAGCCAGAAATTCAATTGCTTGATCTATTTATATGAAAATGACCAACTATCTACCTACTCTACTTGATTATTTCAAGAACAAACAAAAAATAGTGACAGATTCAACTTGCTAAATCAACAAACACTGATTAGACAGGTGTGTACTTAAGTTAAATGCTTTAAAGCTCACCGATGATAACAGATCTGTTTTATTATAACATTGCTGATACAAACGACTGCCTCAAGTATTTGGGTCATCTATTTTGCAAATGTACAGATATAATAAGAAAACATTCCTTTTTTAAATTTCTTTGGTCCGAATAATTTTGAATCCACTGTGTGTGCTAACGCGGTATTGTGAAATGTTGAGGACTTACGATGCTTCAGGCTAAAAATTTCAAACTGAAGCACTGCATTTCTTGGTATATTTCTCTTCTTGTCTACTCTTTGAAAATAACAAGAGATAGGTGTGTTGGAAATCATGCTTTCAGTATCTGATGGATGAAAAACGTAATTTTAACACCTGATGTGATAGTAAAATTCAGCCATGGAGGATGAGTAGAGGAGAGCAAACAATGGTAAAACATTTGTAGACTGTAGTTGTTAAATATTTTACTGTTTAAATATATGTCAGAGAAAAAGTTATTGCAATAATGTCAATTGTTTCGGTTAATTCCTTACTGTTGCAAAATTTGTAATGATTATTAATGCTATTATTATTAAGACTTTCCGAAGAATTCTTCAGTCTCCGAAATACTAAGAGTATTATTTTTGTATTCTTTCAATAACCAAAATTTTTGTACTCTAATTTATATGTCTTTAGTATATTCAGACGGTTTTTTACTCTAATGGAGCAAACACTGGATCCTTCGAGTTTAATATATTTTTATTTATTTGAGGATTTAGTAGACGATTGGGTTGATATTTTTTAAACATAAGCTAAAATGTTACATAGTAGTTCAGTCCAAGTTATTATACTTCCAAATAACAGAAAAGTTCATCAGAATAACATGCAACTCAAAAAAGTGAATCACGAAACATATACGTGCAATCAAATAGTAATCCAATATGGAAGAAGAGAATGGTCGAAATTTGTGTTGCAAAAGTAATGAACGAGTATATTTGAGTGATAATATGTGTAATTCAAAGCTATTCAAACAATGATCCTCAACTGCTAATATTATCAAGATACTAAAAAAGCCTTAAATTAGCAGTTGCTGACAAAATTGAACAGGTACTGTGTTGATTCAAAACTTTGGGTGAGTTATTACAGGATTATGAGTTAAACAGTTTTATTATTTTGCGTGTATTGATGATAGAAATAACATTATGTCACAAGTAATATCCGATTATATTATTGGCTGGTTAGTTTTAAAGCTTCTTCATTAAATTATAGAGTCTGTGACAGAATAAACATATAGTTCAATAAGGTTGTTGCAGTGCAGTCCAACATATGGACGAAATATCTTCTTTAAAACTCTATAAATAAATCAAATGATTTATCAGCTTGAAAAATATAAACTTAAATATAAGCTGGTTGAAATTCACTTTAACTTCATATGAAATAAATAGAAAATTTTACAGTGCATTACGACTGAAATGATACTATCAAGTAGAGGTTATTCCACTTTACTGGTGAGGAGTCTTATGCTTAGGCGAAGCATCTATCTCGAACTTTTTTCTTTCTTGTATTTGTCTAAGCTGGTTATTGGTTTCCATAAAAAATCTCCTTCATTGATTGAATATAATAAATAAATATCGCAATATTCACAAAGTCAATTATTATCGACCATCGAATGGTAAAACAAATAATAAAGGGTTTCATAACACGAAAGATACTGTTGAAAAAATTTATTAGCTATTGAAAGAATTCATCAAGCGAACCTGAACAAAATATTCTAGCGACATTTCTATTCAGTGGGTAGTTAAAATTCAGAACACGGAAATTCGGTAATAGAGATATTGATTTATGCTATATCATCCATCACCAACGGAAATATGTTCCTGTTTACCTGACGTTATGAGCTTATCTCATGTGAAATGGTGAAATACTTATCAGCAATGTTTGACGAAAACATAGTACTATATCTTTGAACTTTAGCTTAAAATCTAATAACCTTCAAAAGGCAACCACTAAAATACATCTAAAAGGTCTGGAGGAATTTAGTTTGACGAAATTCATTTACTCAACTTTTTTTAAAATAAGTCATGATTTTACTCCTCTTCACCAAAATAATGAATTTGTATTGTATTCAAGTATTTATTATTTATGAAAAATTATCTTACCATAATTTCAAAACCATATGAATTAAAATTTCCTCTGGTGCATACTTCTCCTTTAGCAACAATCCTCTCATTTTGCATTAAACATGGCCATATGTGGTGATGAATTATTAATGTTGGATAAGATGAATCATGACTACGCCTATATCTACAATAAACATAAGGAAATAAACGGAAAAAGAGATGGTAAACTTGATAAAATGTAGAATAATATCATACTTTGGTTACTAGTCAAATATACAAAAAGTTTCCTGACAAACAGAAGATATCTTAAATAACTCAACTATTAATAATTAGTGTATTAACTTCAGCAATTTATATCATATGGTTGACTGAATAAACAATAGTTTTAAGGTGTAATTACAATCTCCAGAAACTTTATAAAATGTCCAATGTGTTCTTTTATGTTCATTGTTTAGATATACGTTTATTAACATGCGACAGTTGGTATTAAACAGCACAAACTATTTCAAGTCACTCTGCTCGTTACAGCTTAGGTAAAATAATTAAAAAAAACATTGATTTGCATCTGATCTCATATAAGTCTATTTAATTTTGAAAAATATCAAACAGTTAAAAAACATTCTTACATACATGAGTTTTGTTGGTTAGTGAAGTTAACGCATACAGGAAGTTACGCTTTGCAAGTGACCCTTGATATTCAGCTGGTTTCTGATTATTTCTACAGCTGCACTTAAGGCAGTGATTTTGAGCAGATTGTTTACCTACTCGTTTTTAAAACTTCTATTTAATTAGTAGTGATTAAAAATAACAATTAAGGTATACGAATAACTAATCGCTTCAAGCATATTTTTCTTAATTTCCGTATCTGAATATGAAATCCTAAAGTGGTTCAGGTAAATTAAACCTTCGTTTTATTTTATCTTTTGAAATGTAATAACCGAATAATATTGGCAGGATTGATTGTATCCAAGAACAAAAATAGTCCAAACTTCGACAATGGTAAGCTAAGAAAAAATATAGTGATAATAAGCACAAGGCTTCATTTGAAAGATGATCTAACACGAAGAATGAAAATGGGAATAATTTTTAATCCTACTAATCTTCATCACTTTTGGTACTGGTGATATTCCGCAGGCACTTAGAGCCAGCAGTTAGACAATCACTTGAAGTCAAATAAAACTCGAGTTATAGCTAGTCATAATTCGTCAGAATCTGGGCTGATAGTTTGATTTGTTATATAGTGCACTACATGACCCGACAGTATGCCAAGTAGTTTTCACCAAAAACAATTCTTTTTTAACCAATTATCGTACTGACAACAAGCAAAATCTATATATTATTACAGTGGGTAAGGGGTCTAGTTTTTGTCTCATTAATTAAACTATTCCTCACAAAGAGACGGCTAAGAGACTATCAGATTATATTAGAGTCTCTTAATTCTTAAATTCCCCATATTATGTCGAACGATTTTAGGATCTCGATCATTTCTACGAAAATCTTTGTACACCAAACTTTATAACAAATGATTTTAAGGAATATTTTAATGATTCGCTTACTTTGCCTCGTCGATCAACTCATTTTCACAAGCTGGTCTACAAATTTCGAGCGGATGACTCAAAGCAGCACATTCCCAGGCAAGTTTACATGTTTCATAAATAAAATCTTTAATAACTTCGAAACCAAGATTCTGTGATGGTCGGCGAATACGTGGTACACGGCGTTCCAAAGCTAAACATGCATCTTTAACAAGTAATGAAATATCAGCTGAATGACTAGCATGAATGTTAATGTACGATTGTACCAATTCATCTAATGTTTCTGTTGTGATTAAATTATTCGCTGCAATCTGTTTACGTACACGATTTTTATATGCTCGAAAATGTGATTTGGCTACATGAAATGAGTCCTTGGATAAAGAGATGAAAAATAATGTTTATTAATATATAGAGTGTATAAAACAAATGATTGTTTCATATCATATTGAACTTCAACTATAGATTCTAATGACGGATAAAAATGTATGTACAAAATGGAACTATATAACTTGATATCACGAAGTTAATCTATTAAGATTTTAAATGAATGATCATAACAATAAAATTCAGAAATGGGAGTTTGTGTACAAAGAACTAGTGTATCCAGAAGTAATTTGAAATACCATTCTCAAACACCATATGTAATCAGTCGTATCAATTGCATCAAAATGTGACCGTAAAATATAAAATATCAATAGTACATGTAACAATAAATAACTGTTTCATTTAACCTTGATACTTAATAGTAGCAAGCACTCATGAGTGTCATAAAAATCAAGCTTTGGATTTATGGGGTGAGTTTACATTACTTTCATTTATGAACTTTAGAATTTAAGGAAGTGAGCCTATCCTCTTTAGCTTGGATGACATAAGAGGTGTAGTTCAGAGACAGAAATTATCACAGAATAATAGAAAGTACGTAACTTCAGGCTTCAACTTTAAAAATTGTTTGGAACTACGCAAGTGAAACTGATTTGGACCACTATCACACAAAGTTCTGAGTCTTGAACTTTGTTTACAGTACATATCTTAACAAGAAACATTGTATCTGGAATGAATGTTTCGGTAGTACTGTGTTCACATGTTTAAATGGCCTTCTGAGAGTTGCTTTACTATTTGATTCCTTACATTTGTATAAATCCAATTATAACACTTTACGCGGCAGTATTGGATTGCAGTCACTAAATATTTATAGTGATAAGATATTTTATTGAATGTACAACATATAAAATTGATTACATATAAGAGCATTGGATTATCTAATTTCATGTCCACTGAGATTACGTCATTCAAGTAGTCAGGCTTATTTGCTGGAAAAGAGACAAAATAATTGTGCAAAAATTGATCGTTTGTGCTGATTCCGCGCATCATATTCATTGATTTCACTTAACTGCCAATACAATATGCGACTGCTATTTATGTCTCCAAATCCTGAATTCTTTACATTCTATACATTTACTTTCCTATAATTCGTCTTATTTCGTTCCAGTTCCACAAAAGTTTTCGTTATTATGATTTTTTTTCATTATTCTTTAGTTAATCGCAAAAGCGAACTAATAAACATTGAAGGAAGTCTTTATTTCATCTAATTTTTTTTCAGGATCGTCAGTCCATTGTCGGATAAAAATATTGTTTTTTAATTAGTTCAGTTGTATTGATTAGTTGGTTGCCCATAGTGATTGATGACACAACCAATCTACTGAATATTGATTAAAATAACCATAATATGATGAACTCACAAGTTATTTATATTTTAACTCTTTAAATGTAAATAATTACAGTAATCTTCTGAGAATATTTAATACAGTAAGCAATTATGCGGTCTTGTTGGTAGCAGTTGGACCTTCATTTTCATCCCTGACTATCCATTTTTATCTGGTGAACAAAACTGACTTCCTTGAATGTTAAGTACGACTGAGATGAATCCCTTCCTCTCTCTCTCTGTATACATATATATAAACACCTGACGGATTAATCCATGACCCTGATTATTTCGATTGAGATAAGATGAAATGATCGGGATGGTCTCATTGGTTTTAAGCCATGCTAATCATTAATGGGTTTTAATTTATGTGGCACAAAGAGTTGAACAACATGAAATACGCTACTGATTTACATTTCTATAACCTGCTTTATTTAAAAGATTATCCTACCTTCTTAAGTATTTCTTATATATAATGACAAAATAAAATAGTCTACAAATTATTTGTGTAATGTTTCCTTTATCTGGATATAATTTTAGTAGGAAAATTAATAACTGTGTTGGTTTATTATAAATAAAAGTTTGTGTTTAAATCGACTACTTTTCTACTTTGTTTTTTTGCGGCTAAGGTAGAACAAATTTACATCATTTCAAAATCTGATCTCAATAGATTTATGCTGGTTACTAAAGCAACCATAGTGACCTTGACTTTTATTAGCCCAGTCTAAAAGAGAGTGTGATAATTGTATAATTAACGTGATCAGCATTTTTTGTTTTAAGACATAAAATCAAAATGGATGTGATAGAAAAGATATTAACATCAATATGTAAATAACAAGTAATAGTCAATCAATATTTGTATTGGTTGATTTGGAGAAAAAAACAGTTTCAGAGACTAAACAAATGGAGAAGAATTTATATGACTACATGACGGTTTTTTATTTGAATGATGAAGAGTTAAACAGTTTTATTTTAAGAATGAAATACACGACCAAAATATATGATTTGTTTCCCTGTGTATCACGTTGTATGTTGAGTTTCAAACTTGTTAAATAAGATAACTGATCAAAATTTCTGTTCAAAGCATAAAAGCAATACAGTCAACAGAATTTAAGAAAAAAATAATGCAGAAATGCTTTAAAAGTTTAAGAGCATGGGTATCCGGATAATGATGAAATACATATCTGAACTATTTGCTAGCCACATCAGAGGAATAAAATCACTTGAAAACAGTTTATCCTTACGAGATTTGGCTCTCTAACTGTTTGATCTGTAATAATAGTAGAAGCGAGTTGTTGAACAAAAATATTCAATCTGTTAATCCTTACATTCATTTCTTGCTAGCTTGACTGTGAAACAACATCTTCTGTTTGACTTTTTTTGAATGTTTCTTACACTTTGTTTGTGTGCTTTATTATCTCTTTTTGAAACCACACTCAAATTGTAAAAAACGTATAGGCAGCTATTAGAATTGCTGGTGTAATGTTGGTGAACTAAAAAAAATTTTCGTTGCTGATCAGATTCTAAAATATTACTATGAAATCGTTTCATAATTAAAAAATAATTATTCATAATATCCATGCTTTGTGTGAACAACTAGAACATTAAATGAAACACTAAATGTATAACTTTTAAAATCACTTGGGAAATAATTTAATTCAAAATCTAGTATTCATTCTTCTTAGATTCTTCAGAAGTGATTATATCATCAATAGTGTACAACTCATTCATCAAAATATAGAATGTATGGCATTTCTTTCTTAATACTGTTTTGTGTTTTATCAGGTGGTTCTCAAAAGTACATTGTAGTCATCTAAATGATCAAAGTTCTCATATTTCAAATAACGTATAAAGGCGAAACTCTCTTATTAATTCTTTTTTGGTTTCATGTATTTCAATAATTTGTTTCAGTAAAATCAACAGTCAAGCATACTATTTTGAAGCTTTTAAACTAAGAAAAAAGAGTTACATAGAATTTGCCAATTTTTAGTGGCTCTTCAATAGATTTCGGTTTAGTTTCAAAGCAATCTCTACAGTAAAATAGTGTCTGCAAAAGACTAAACTGCACATATTATTGAAGTTGATTAGTTCCAAAAAAGCTTCTTGTTGAAATATGTTGTTTTACTTTAACTGCCTTACAAAAAACATATCATCTAATGACTTCAGATAATAAATGATAACTTGATGCATTATATTTCTAATACAATACATTACTGATTTTTGATAAATATGATGGGAAGTCTTCATGACTAGTTAGTGTTTGCTAATTAATGTTGTAGTTTGATGTTGATGTAAAAAGTGTCACAAATCATGAATCCTTAGGTTATACGGAGAACTACTTCATTTTTAATACTCAACATGTAGACAAGCTCATAACATGATACAATTTATCCTCTAACGTGACTTTAACTTAATTGGTTGATTAAAGATATTATAAAATCTCTAAAGACAGAGGATAATCACTTTAAATTGTTAAGAGATAAGCATCGATAATTGAATTACGGTAATTAACTAAGATATCGGTGTCAGCCAGAAAGTAGTACCTATGAACTACAGGTTACATGAATTTAAAATAGCCTTCAAAAATATTTAGTTTTCCAAATCTTGAAAATCCTAGTGTTTCACCCTCATCTTTCAGTCACCATTTGTATATTCATTTCTTCTGTTTAATAGATGGCTTTTTTCAGTTTTTTAAGCCTCTTTTTCACAATGACGTCAAGAAAGTTACACTTTCTCTTTCTATTCGATATTTGAGAGCCTAAAGAACCAGAGCTTGAGCGTAGACGAAAGGAAGGATATTTTTCAATTACATCATAGATACCAATTTCCTTCAGTTAATCACTAGTCATTTCGGACAAACTTGCATATGAAGAATATTCTTCTTCAAAAACTAATCTCTAAAGTCGGTTTGTTTGGAAATTCATAAAACTGAAATAAATAGAAGTGCAAAATTTAATTATAAATTAATAATGTGCAAACTAACCAAAACTGTATAGAAAATAATTTTTTGGCTTGCTTCATAATCGTCTATGTAACGCCTTAAAATACCCATTGCTTCAACTCGATGCAATGAAAATAACTCATTAAAACGCATTACCAAAATGTGCTGCCTGTATCGTTGGATCGGATCATTTGGACTTAGTGGACTAACACCAGTTAGCATAGATGGTGTTAAATCTGAGGGGGCTGATAAAGACAGTGGTCCAACATCTTTTTCTTCATGCCTTTTTCCAAACAAAAAAAGTTGATAATTATTGAACAGTACAGTATACTACAAACAGAAAAGCCAGATGAAGAATATGTTAAAAACATGTGACAAACTCTAGTCACCTATTAAATATTCCACGTAAAATGAGGCGATTTTCTTCAAAAATTAAATCCCTTTTTCGTTTTTCACCAGTTGCATCTAAAATGTTGGACTTTTCTATTAACATTCACTTATCTCTTTTGAGGCGATATTATGGTACTAGCTCCAGCATTCCTAATTACATGAACACTGTTATGGTGTAATTATAGAAATACTGAAAAATTGCAATTGAAAAATGAATACCTGAAAATAACACACATATTTTTCGATTTTATACATGCTTCTGTGATTACGTTTGATAGAATATGAAAGTCGTCACCAAAAATCTTAAATGTAAGGTTTATGTAAGAACGATAAGTCAATCAATGGAATTGCTATTTATCGTCGGCGAAGTCGTTAGACAGATGCTGGGTATTTTCGTTTGGGAAGACCTAAAAATGGTTTTGAAGATCAAGCAACTGAAACTCCGATTTGTTTACATTTTTCAATGTCTTTAACTCCATGTTTTATTTGTATGATTTAGAGATGCATGGAGGCCTGTATTTTCGGTGAACTAAAATGAACTTTAAATTCGTAAGCACATGAATTTAAGGTGTTTGATTGTTTAAAAGTTGCTACATCTGCTATCGCTTGATTTTTTGCGTCTAATTCTTTTAATAATACCCTCAAATGATAAGTTTTGAGATATGTTCAATTAAATGATACGTTTTTTAATTTAGAAAGTCAATGTCGGTTTCACTCTTTGTTTTACAAACTCATTGGGGTTGATCACATATAGTCGGGCAACTTATTTCCTTACAATCCTATTAAACTTCAGACGTTTCATTTTCTTAATTCACCTAGATATTGGCATCAAAAAAGAACTGTGGTTTAAGTTTTTTTATTTTATGGTCATCCATCAGACAGGCCTGCAGAATAGTAGAGGTAGTAACAGTGTCAGTGGTGGTAGAAAAGATTAGGCATCGAAGTCACCATTCGAGAAGAAAATAAAAATTGGTGTGATAAAAAAGTTGTGAGGAATATATGGTTTTAAAATTTGATGGGAACCATAGAATGGATGCACCTGCGTTACTGCAAACATTTTTCAACAATGTCATTCAAAGTCTCTGATCATTGGTTACGATAATCACGCGGATCTTAACCAGATAGTCTACACATGTTAACATAGCCAAGTTCAATTTTCAGTGACTTCGTACACCGATACTATATCTTGATTTTACCACCTCTATCTCTTCTGCAGCTTATTTCTACACCAAAACACATCGCTATTCGAAATATCCGTTGATTGACATACGTAGCACACATCCCAGTTACCTCAGTTGATGAAGATTTACTAACTCCTCAATCTATTTCCTATCTCCAACTAGTATCCTACATCTAACTCAGGCAATGATTACTCAGTTGTCCACGCATATACGAACAATTCTTTGAAGCAACAAAAACTTGTGAGATAATTTATTTGAATTGTTGCTCGTTAGTCCTAACTAGGCTGGTTTAACATTGAAATATCAGTGTAAGTAAATGTGAAATAAAAACGGATATTGTTATTACCAGATTTTATTATTAATGAGCATCTTTTGAACAGCGCGTTGCTAGTCGTTTATTGGTGAACCATTAAGTATAAATCAGTCATACATTTGCAAGATAGGTACCGTCAATCCATGATATTTGAATGATGACTTACATGTATCAAAAGCAATTTGTATGACTCACATTTTTGATGAAGTTGGAAGATTTTTCAACGATCCAGAATTATCTTTAGTAAAATCATACTCATTTTTATTAGGACAATATATATGAGTTTTGAGACGTTCATTTTCCCCTTCCAATGAAAGTATTCTAATAGGTCAGTGAAATAAAAATAAAAACGATTTAAATTTTAAAAAATATACTCGGTTATAATAAAACACGCCCGACTACTTAATTTTTAATGATTTACGTTTGTTCAGTTAGTGTAAGAACTTAAAAAGTCGGCGAAAATCGGGTGCCGTTTTACTTTAAAACCTTTTTTGTTTGATAGATGTTTACTACAGTAATGTGTGCTTATTATTTGAAAAATTTAGTGTTTGATCAGAGATTTCATATTTATTTGATATGCCAACTAAAAACATCCTCACCTAATGAATAAATGATCGAAACTAAGGTGAGTGGTATTAAGGTTTCTTGAAAATTACGAAATATGATAACTACTAATGTATGACGTGAGATTTTAAAATTAATCAATATGTTTATTTGCTAGAATGCACTCAAAAAGTGAATTTATCGATTAAAAATGATAGAAAAACATTAGTGACGAAGTGACGATTGTAAGTGTTAACATATAAGGCATTCTTTATTCTCAATATGATGACTAAAATGATGACCGTTATATATTTTACTTTAAACTAATGGTTTAAACGATAGCTTAAAGCTCTGGATAGAATTTCAACAAACTCAAAGGGATAGTTGGGGTTCACCCCTATATCTCGCACGTATTTGACAAAATACAAAAGCACTTATCAAATTATTTTCGATGGACGTAAAATATACGATAGTTTCGCTCTAATAGCTTCTGTTTGGATGGCATCAACTTTCTCTGAAATGGAAAGACATGTTAAGTGGACAAACCTTAAAAGAATTTGCTGAAATTCGTCCGAAAATTATTCAAACATTTGGACACAATTTCATGGACTTATGTTTAACAAAGGAAAATCTCAATAACATTATGGAAGTTGTACTATTGACTTATATCAGGCTGTTAAACTGGGAACTTTTGATCAAAGTTTCACTTTTAAACTAAAAGCGTGTTATGATTTGTTGATTTTTCCACCATATAGTTTTACGGATCAATAAAGAGCTGGTATAAATGAAAAAATGTATAGTTAGTTCGCACTCTTGCTCAACATTCGTTGAGCAAAAACTTACTGCTCTCTTAGCCGATTGTTTTCTTTACGTGTTTCAATCAGATCAACTTCATATTTGTCTTGTCTAGGATATTTTGAAATATCCGATTCGTAGGTTTTAGGTGGAAACAAATTAGAATTTGACGTTTGTTTTCCAACAGCGAAACCGGAAAATACACTACCTGATCCAAGAAGTGGTAAAAGTCGAAGTTTGATTGCATTTGCACCCCCGTATGGACCACCTGTATGAAAGGGTAATAATCAGTATTAAAAAGGAGGATAATTGTTTTCAAACTAGTCACGTTTTTTTTAACACTATTCCGCTCTTGATTCGAATTTTGAATATATATAATACCCTCGACTGTGCTCATGGAGTTCTCGCTGACTTTTATGAAGGTATATATGAAAACTAGACTAAAAATTATAGTCATGCTAACTATAAATGAAGTTACTAATCGTTTTAAGCTGCGAAAACCTTGATCTGCCATCTTCCCTGTCGTTTCTCATGGGTCTGTGTTTTTTTCGCAACACGAATGAGGAATGCGCAGTGCTTTCTACTTTATGAAAACTTCATTATTCGAAACACATTGCTATCTTTACTGACTCAAACAACTAATAAATTTGCGGTTTTTTGGTCTGCATAGTTGTTATTATTCAATGAAGAAGACATAGATATTGCCTGCACCTATACTGTCTAAGATATCATCAAAAAATTAAAGACATTTGGTAAAACGGCGAAATATTAAAAATAGTACAACTAATGGATAATAATTAAGGATACATTGTTCCACTTTCTGTAATCAATACGTTTGCTAAGACACAAAATTTACCGTTTAAGAGGCTAATGAACGGTAATCTTGCTTTCATTGAGTTACGTATTACAAAAAGGATGCTCCCTTTTCAAACTTAAAATATTACATTACCAATTTTTTGTGCTCTATCTCAACGTTTTATTAACCATGATTTAAAACAACCACATTTAAAACTTTTCATGTATAAATTACGAATATTTCACACCTTCTGAAGCACAAATGCTTATAAGCCGAAAAAGCTGGTTTTGGATCCTGGCATTCAGCTCAATAATTTCACAACCCATAGCCACATTTTCATCACAGGTATTCGTCTAAATTTTGAAAACTATTTTGAAGGATTCAATCAAACCTGATAAGAAGATGCCCAGCGTTCTAAATTTTCATGAAGGATGAGAAAAGCACCAGATTTCGCCAACTGATTTAACGATTCCGACATAACTATTTGTCCAATGTACTCCTAATATTTTGCGTAACAAAGTTGCGATAAGAATTCATTCATTATTGATCTGAACACTAGAAAGCGTTTGAGTTATAAATGTTACAAATACTGGCTTGTGAATTTGTAGAGAACTAAATGGAGTCTACATGAAGCGCCAAAAGAGTCACAACGTTAGTTTGCAAGGTGATATTACTGAGATGAGGTCAGAAAAAACTCGAAAATGCAGTATTCTTTCTTCGTAAATGTTACAAACAGTTTGAAAGAGCGCAGTTTTATGACAATAGCAATAACCTTGATATTGACACACAAAACATTTCGGCTTGCGTGACAGATGCTAGTCATTTATTAGTCAACAAATGGTTACGACAGTGCAAGCAAATACTAGCTCTAACAAAATTGTGAAGCTAGTGCTATTTGGTCATCGATGTTTTGAGATTGTCAAATTTATGGCAACTCTGTTATCGAATATTTTCCACTGTATTCTACGTTAGTCATCAAACACCATTCGATTCGAACGTGACCAACTTTAATAAGTTGTTATGCTCAATAGGCTGAACATATGAAAGATATTTTTCACATGGTATGAGCGTTCATTTTATCCTCTTAAGTAAATAATTTTCTTGAGATTCTCCTGAAGGAGCAAAAAAATGGGTTGGAATCGTAATGACTTAAAAATGGATTTGTCTATGTAGTATTCACATGTCATGCCTTCGACGGAGATCAAGCAAACACATTCCTGTTCCACTCTAATGAATAAAGGTTAATAACAAAATGAATAATTACAGAACATCAGATTGACAATAGTCAACCTCTGTAAATCGAGCTAGGTCAGGGCCATTCCTAAATTTTTATTCTATGTAAAATTTCATCACAAAAAAATATAGAGTATATATATAGAGAGAGTGTGGATATAAGCTTTTAATTACAAAATATTCATAAATGCATGTTGATAGAAATTCCTTACGATTGGCTTGAAACCTGTTTCTGAAAGATTTGACGAACTCATATCCTAAAGAACTAAGGTGAAGATTGATCAAAACCCCAGATTAGCATAATCACTAACAAGATCAAATAACAGGAGGCTTATCAGGTGAAGTTTTTAGCTAATGAAAAAGAAAATATATCATGAAAACGAAGGACTTTGGTTACTTACAATCGCCGAATTTCCGTATAAGTATACTACAATCTATCGGAGCTAACACTTAACGACTGTCAACTCTATGAGTGGAGTTTATTGATAACAGGAAGACAAGTGTTGTATGTGGCACGACACTTTCTGTAAGTCACCCTTACTAGAAATTGCGCGTCGTTAAAAAGCTCACTAGTTTCCCTTCACTTTCAATTAGAATAGTGTAAATGGTGCCTAGATATTTTAACGGTTGTGATAGCTGTATAGATATATTTATGCGATATATTTGGATATAAACCGTCAAGAAACTTTAATGATTTATAACCGAACAGACAAATGCATGGTAAATTAGTTGGAAAAACCCATATTAGCCTCTAGATATGGAACGCATTACAGTTAAAATCATTATATGAGAGAATACCGTGATAAAATACAATCAATTGTGATGTGTAACAAGGTGAAGAATTGGTTCCAATGATGGCTTGAAACTTGAGATTACAATCTGAAAGGATGTTCATTGTAGTCGAAAGTGCAGTGAATAAGTGTAAATTGTTTACAAGCATTATTAACTATGAATTGTTATCATTCTAGTTTTTGTAAAGCCCAAATGAACTCTGTGCACACATAAGTACAATTAACAACTCCATACACTTCGTTGATAATTTGTGAATCACTATCACTGAACGCTTTAATCTTTTCCGTGTTTTTTTAGACGTTGGAGACATGGATTATCGTAAAACCCGTCACTAACGTCACCATCTCAAAGTTATGTTTCCTTTTCCTTTAACCTACGCCATTGCGGTAGATTTTTATGCTCTTTACACTCAGTTATAGGCAGCTGTCGTAAAAACTCTCTTTGAAGTTTATGAGATCCATTTCGGTCATGCCTTAGTAAAGCATGTCGAATTCAGCTGACCCATTCAATAAACACTTTGAAAATATCTCTACAAAAGATATTCCGCCGTACATAACAGTATGACAATTCTATGGTCATATAAACAATGATCTTGAAAGGCACATCGAAATAAGGGTGCTTTCAGAGCTTGTCAATGAATTGAACATTTTATCATCATTGATCGCTGATTGATAATGTTTAATGTTTGTTTGCCTTCAGTTGATACACATGTAGCGTGGCATCGAGTTGAGATTAACTATGAACACCGCTACCAAGAAACACGTGCCAGATAAATCGGAAGGCGTAGGTTGGACGTAACCAAATAAATCCATAAAATCTCCGAGAAGCCAAATATCAGAAGACAGTTAATGGACCAAATCGAGATGTATTCGCTGGCGATCTCGTGGCATCGAAAGGATACCGAGATCGTGCCAGAATACAAGCTTGGTTACAGAACGTAACCGAATTCGCGCGAAGTTACAATCAAAGTGTAAGTAAAAGAATGGAAGCAAAATATAGCTGTCATTAGCACAGTCAAACAAAAGCACATTAAAACAAGCACTGGTACAGTTGGTTATAATAATAATTGTTTTTATTAAACCAGTCGTGTTCTCGTGATAAATGTGAGTCACTACAGGAGCCCCCCGCTAGAAAGGGTTTACACTTTCGATAAATAGCGGTTTAAATCGTGGGACTGATCGGCTGACGAGCGATTGTAGGACGGAAGAATTGGCGAACAGGAAAGCGATCGTTGATCGTCGAGTTGCCAACGAAGGTCGTTTTCGGAGAACGGTACCAGGAGCGATGTGCTGTATTTGTTGCTTGAGTTGGCATGCTACACGAGAGTGGTTTGTATCCAGAATCTGAAGAGGGCGTTCGTAGGGAATGCGGACCAGAAACGCTGCAGACGAAGGACGAAACCACGTTGAGCCAAAAGACCAGAAGCGACCATAACGACCATGTTCGAGACCAAGCGTATGCCAAGCATTCGAAACCAAAATATCGACTGAGTACGTTGACAAGAGCGTGGGTGATCAGGCCAGCTTTCGCCAAAGTTGACTGAAGTCGACGGAACCAAACGGAGATGGTCGAAGGCGTGGGCTCAGGAAACAAAAAGAAAATCAAAAAAGAGAAGAGTGTAGCATGCGTGTAGTATAGGAATAATCCTACACCGTATCGGTTGTTGATTGTGCGGATAATCGCGGAAGCGTACGGGCAACCGTACTCGGCGACCGGAACGTGAGACGGTAGTCTCGTTCGTATCTCGTGAGCCTGCAATCTCATCCGAGGTCAGAGGCGGCGTGGTCTGCTGATCTGGACGTGAGACTGTCGTCTCGTCCGTAGACGGTGCAGATGACGCGTGCTGTTGACCGGGACGTGAGAATGAGGTCTCAGATGTATCTAGCGTGGGACCTGAAGAAGATTTAAGGATCCCGCTAGCAGGTTTGATAGGTCTAGCATTGAATCTCAGGTTATCAGATAGGGCACTGTCATCGACGTGTGCTGGTTTGAGACGATCAATGCTGACGATCTCGACGCGTCCATATCGATCAACCTTGAAGGTCTTTTCGTGACGAGCGATCACGTGAAAAGGGCCTTCGTAAGGTTGTTGCCAAGTTTGCGTACCGAATCTACTCGTATGAAAACATGTGAACAGGTAGATAACTCTCGAGGGAGAGCGACCTGTCGATGTTGTATTCGAGTTGACACCGGAGACAGCGTTCGCATAAATGCAGACAGTCGATGGACGTAGTCTGATTTACCGAAATTAGGTCTGCTCCGTGGTGTGAAGAATTCTCCGGGCAGACGCAATGTCGTGCCGAATACCAGTTCAGCGGCGGAACATTGTATATCTGCCTTCAAGCTCGTTGTGATCCCTAAAAGAACGAGCGGTAAGGTTTCGTGCCAGTTGCCGTTTTCGTGTGCTCGTATAGCACTTTTAAGTTGGCAGTGAAACCGTTTACTTAACCATTTGGTGCTGGGTGGTAGACAGATATGCTTATGCGTATGCATTCCGTACCAAGCAGCCGGGTCAGCGAGGAGAATAGTTAATAGGGGAAAATTTCTCGAATAAAGCGTGGAATTCATCGTCACGCGAATAAAAAGTAACAAGGATTCGGTACACGTACATGTGAGTCTATTATATTAATACTATTCTTATCGTTATCCGTCATGTCGAGTATATTATATATTAAAAAATATGAAAATATACGACAGACGTGGATAGATAAATCATAGACTCACCGAATTGGCTTCTTTGGAAGATTTGACCAGAAGTTGAGGCGTGTTCCAAACTTTGGGATCACCAATTGTAGCGTGGCGTCGAGTTGAGATTAACTATGAACACCGCTACCAAGAAACACGTGCCAGATAAATCAGAAGGCGTAGGTTGGACGTAACCAAATAAATCCATAAAATCTCCGAGAAGCCAAATATCAGAAGACAGTTAATGGACCAAATCGAGATGTATTCGCTGGCGATCTCGTGGCATCGAAAGGATACCGAGATCGTGCCAGAATACAAGCTTGGTTACAGAACGTAACCGAATTCGCGCGAAGTTACAATCAAAGTGTAAGTAAAAGAATGGAAGCAAAATATAGCTGTCATTAGCACAGTCAAACAAAAGCACATTAAAACAAGCACTGGTACAGTTGGTTATAATAATAATTGTTTTTATTAAACCAGTCGTGTTCTCGTGATAAATGTGAGTCACTACACACTTACTTCAGCAGAATGAGAAGATATAGAATAGGTTATTCGTGAGCAACGTGTAATAAGACTATACTCTATTTATCATCTTATAGTGTCGCAGAATCGGCAACCGTAAAGTCCTAAATAGTGGTAACGCAGCTGGATCTGGACCAGAGAATTTTCTGAAATGCGTCTTCCATGATTGTGGTGAAAAGTGACAATGAACATTTAATGCTTTATATTAAAACCCAAACCTGCACAAGGGAGTATGAACTAGTGGTTATGGATGGATGAGTATAATTTCAAACGAGACAGAATACATTTGAAAACTTTTTTCTCCAGCAGGCGCTACCACTTTTAGACCAAAAAACATTGAGGTATAAACTAGAGACTAAACATTAGGAACACATAATAAGAACTTGACAAGTGATAAGATTAAGCTAATTACGTCATATTGCCAGTTTATTCACCCAAAAATCGCTGAAATATCACTAAGTAATAGTTCCCAGTTCGATCATTACTATTCGAAACATTATTCCTTCTTGTCGTTGAAAAACTGAATATTTATCACATCATGAATAATTCGAACAAAATCAGTTAAAAAAAAGTCATTTAGTTTGGCAACGTCCGTTTTTCAGAATTATGTGTGGAACAGATGTGAAAC